TGCCACATTATTATACTATATTTATACTTTTTAATTGCACTGTTAAAATGCGGAAATATATACAATCTCAGCTTGGGCGCCTGACATCGCTTTCACACGTCACGCTTCACTTCGCTTCACACAACTGAAAACAAAATGCCGAAGACTTCAGCTGTGTGGGACCACTTTAAATTGGACGACGATGAGACGAAGGCAGTGTGCCAAATATGTAATATGAAACTGGCCCACCACGTGGCACAACAACTATGGAAAGTCACCTGAATGCTGGAAGTAGTAGCTTAGCTTAGCTAAACGTATATATATCCGGAGCCCGAAAAATGGTATTCGGCACAGCTCTAATTAGCACCTTTATTAATGGTGCACCTAAATGCTGTATTGTATGGTAAATGTATTATCATCAGTGTTGGGACTAACGCGTTACAAAGCCGTTATGTTTGGCAGTAACTAGTACTCTAACGCAGTGATTCTCAAATGGGGGTACGCGGACCCCTGGGGGTACGTTGGGGTACTGCAGGCGGTACGTGAGATAAAAAAATTAAAAAAAAGGTTAATTAAAAAAATAATCTTAGTAAAATAAGTTAAATAGAAAAAACAATTTTATATAAAACATTCCTAGAACCACCAAGGGGGTCCTCATATAAACATGTCAAATGTGTGTATTGTATTTTATAGTTTTTCACAATAACATATGAGAAAATGTTTCAAAGGGGGTACATTACTGAAAAAAGTTTGAGAAGCACTACTCTAACGCATTCTTTTTTAAATTCAGTAACTCAGTTACCGTTACTACATGGTGCGTTACTCTTACTTTTTTTTTTGTATATAGTCTCGCCTCCCAGACGTTGGTGAGCGGCGCCAACAGCGAGGCGAACAGAGATGAGAACTGTACTTAAGTACAGTACTTGAGTAAATGTACTTAGATACTTCCTGTGTCACATGCAGAGACGCGCTGTGGGCGTGTTTGTGTTGTTTACTAACAAGACTATCATGGCGGCGGCGGAGCTCAAGTCGAGTTTCTCCGCCTGGAGATATTCTCACTATTTCAATTTTGTCGAGCACAAAGAAAAGAACGTTTTAGTTAAATGTAAGTTGTGTCTTGGCGGGTCAAAGATCCTATCTACTGCCCAAACCAGTAATTCAAATATCTTAAAACAACATGCTGGGACGAAGCTAGTAGCTAAGACCACAGAGACTCAGCCGACGCCACTCCACCTCCACCTGAGCAACAGCGGCTGGATTTTAACCAAGGGACTGCTAGCCAGGGAAAAGTTGATAAAGCCATTGCACGGTATGTTGTAGAACACATGCAGGCTATTGCTACTATTTCTATTGCTATGTCTTGATCAACAGATTGTATTATTCTCCAATGCAATAACAGTACTGAAATGAAGGCTATAAGGGCATTAATGGGAGCCCTTGTTTTAAGTAACTAAAACGTTACTTTTCATAGTAACGCATTACTTTATGGTGTAAGTAATCAGTAAAGTAACTGAGTTACTTTTGAAATGAAGTAACTAGTAATGGTAACTAGTTACTGGTTTTCAGTAACTAGCACAACACTGATTATCATGGGTGAATACAAAGAAACCTAACCCCACGTTTTATTCAGATTCACTAAAGCATGCTAGCTCACTAGTGGGCTTATTCATAGATACATACATGTAATCTGTTACCTTTTCGAGGTTAACGTTTTATTTAACGGTCCTAGTTTAAAAATGAATACGAAAAATTAAATTAAATGTGTGTGGTTGTGAGGCTATTTTGTTTATACTGAATGCCGTGTTTTTATTTATCTTTGAATGTGTGCATATGTATATGTGTCTGTTGATTATGTATGTGTATATACATATTTTGATATATATTTGTATTTTTGTATTCCTCTGGATTGTGGGAAACAGTATTTCGATCTCTCTCTCTGTACACACAAACTGAAAGATAGACAATAAAGTTGACTTTGACTTAACTTATAATAGTGCATTATGACTCATTGACAAACCTAAATGTACTGCTTTTGTTATTAGTTACACTTGATTTTCCTGCAATGACATCCCAAAATGTTCATTGACTTTATTGGCAGATCCCCTTTGCGTTGCTATTGGGCTTGTTGGATTTGTATTTCAAACATCTGCAGACATGGTTTAGTGTGTTTCTGTTCAAAAGGAAAACTCACCCACCTTAGAACATGGTGGTTGATACTGCATGTTGTTCTACTCATTGAAATTATCTTCTGAATATATCACAAACATATTTGCAGGGAGTAAACAGTAGCTCCGGCAATTTAACACCTCATACTGGAGCAGATTACAAAACAGATGGTCCTCTCTCACCCTACTACTGTGATGAAAGATCCCTAAAACCACTCAGAGGAAATTAAACATAAAGGTCTTCTCTGATAATATCCTGTTTTTAATAAAAGCTTGTTTTCAGTTCAGGTAACTTAAGGTCTCGGTCACTATTTGACATTTTACAGGTAGTCCAAGACTCATCTCCTTTATAGGGTTTGACGGTTGGACGAATATATCTTCGCTTAGCTCGGTATATCCCAGGTTTTTGTTTTTGGGTCTTTTAGTCGTGTAATTTTGCTAATATAATGGTGCATCCTCATTATAGAAATGCACATATAAGGTTATAAGAGAATGGGCTCCTGATCAAAGGAATGCAAGAAGCCCTATCATAAGCATTTTAAGCATCAATACTCAATGACTTGGTGGTTTTTGTGTCTCTTTGTGGTCCTTTTAACGGCCCGTCCACATTACAGCTTCGACAGCTTCAAAAACGGTTTCCAATGCGTCACTTTGCCTCGCTTTTCGCCGAACTGAATTGTGGGTAGCATAGCGGTCCGTCTCCGCCGTCTCCAGCTGCAGAAGTTGAACAATTCTGCAGCCGGAGACGCCGGAGTAGCCAGCGCCAGCCAATCAAATCCCGTTTCTGAAAATCTGACAGCTCAAGCCCTAGCCAATCAAACCACGTCTAAGCTGGGAGAGATATCCCGCCGTTCATTTCTATATTTCAAAAAAAGATGGAGGAGAAACTAATTATCGGCGTAGCAAATCACCCGGTTTTGTACCAGACCCAGCGACGCACACTACATGGCTTCCTGCGAGACAATGTATACACTTTATGCAACCTTGCACACACACGTGTTACCCTTCTTGCCCTTCTTACCCTTGCTACAACACCGGCATCCATTTTAGCAATAGTGGAGAAGAACCTGTTTTTTTTGCTTTGTATGTCGGGGGCGGGACATTCATGTGATTGGTTGTTGGTCGCGGTGCTCGAATACAATCCCCAAGCTTCAGACACGCCCAGCTCCAAGCTTTTTTTGAAGCTGTAGTGTGGACGGGCCGTTAGTGTCCTTGTAGACGTTTTCTCTCTATCTGTACTTATTTTACATTTCCTTTTGATCGTTCGAGTCTCTTTCTTGTTCGTATGTGTCTCTTTAAATGACATATTTTAGGTCAAGGCCAGCGGTAATCAACCTATGACGAAATTGGACATTGGAGGGCTGACAAACTTTCACATATCGCCCAATGCTACTCCTTTTATCTCTGTTTTGGTCTCCACCACTTCCAGTTATACTAAGCAAGTCACATTAGATCTTTGATCAAAACCTACTGATTGACGCTGCTTTGAGTTATGAAACACAATTGGTAAGATGATCCTTCTTGGTGTGTTTGTTAGCGATACGGTTCGGAAATAATGAATGCTTTCTGAGATGAAAATAGATGTAAATATCTCTCTCATAGGGAGAATCGTGGGATGTGTCGAGTCGCCTTTTTGCCAGTATGTGTAGGTTGACAGGATAGTGGGCTTCTGTAAAAATATTCACGTCTGAGTGTTTCGTCTTATTGAATTTGAGAACATATTGAAAAACTGTCACTTGGTTTAATTGATGAGCTTTTTATCGCCTTCTTACGAGGCAGTGACAGATTTGTATTCAGTCGATAATGAATAATGAGCAAGACTCTTTTGGTATCAGTTCAGTTGAATCCTAATTCTAGGAATTTAAATGAAAAGATGGGTTCGGGTGACAGTGCAACAGGAACATGTGTTGTCTGAGGATGCAAAATGATTGAAAGAGAAGGATGAAAGGAATATAAAAAGGTTAGAAAAGTGTCAAAAGAAATATCATTTCACGGGAAGACTAGGGGTCGAGGAGTGTGAGAACTTGGTTATGGATATTGTCAAATATCTGGAACCAGTGGCGGTTCTAGGGGGGCAGGGGGGCCAGTGCCCCCCTAACACTGACCCTGTGGCCCCCATAACAATGACATTTTTTTTTAATTTGTTTAAATGTGTTAGTGGAAACATTGCACTATAACTTAAGCTGAAGCTAACAGTAATAACTATAAGATATATCTGAAATAAATAAGTGTACTGAAACAAATACCAATAACTGTATTGCATTGTTTTGTTATGCGCAATTACTTCATACTGTCTAGTTCTCTTTTTCGTCCTGCATTTATTGTGCCCCCCTCAGAAAATAACTGGCCCCCCAGTGGCCCCCCCAGTCAAATTGGTCTAGAACCGCCACTGTCTGGAACAAACTCCCAGAAACCTGCAGGTCCGCTGCAACTCTTACTACTTTTAAATCCAGGCTGAATACTTTTCATTTTGCCGTTACTTTTAATTGAACTATTCACATATCACACTGCACTGTAACTTGTATTCATGTACCTGAGTTATTCATGTTGTATTATCTTTGCTTCTTAATGTTTCTAATGTGTTTAATGCTCTTAATGTCTTTCATTTCTATAAAGCACTTTGAATTGCCTTGTGTTGAAAAGTGCTATATAAATAAACTTGCCTTGCCTAAATCAACTGCTATGTTTGATAGTTTCATGTTAATACATTCAGTAAAACCAAAGTGTCTGAAAATGAATTTGGTCACAGATGCCCTTGAATTGCAAGGAAAACCACTCGAAATGGAGTCAGCCACTGGGGTTTGAATGTAGACGCTGCAAATTAATGTCACACTTATCGCCACCATGTTGGCTCACCTTGGCTTTGTTGATGGTGCAGTGCAGTGCATTGTTCTCCTGGTCATACTGCAAACTGAAGTCCAATGTCCCCAATGTAGCTGTAGAGACAGAGGGAGAAAGAAAAGGAAATTAGTGACACACAGAAGCTCACTAGGGATACAAGAAATGCGAAAGTGTCTGCTTGCTTTCATCATTTGAAAGAAACATCCTGAAATCTCATGGCGTTCTTGGCGTGTGATAATACTGTAGAGAAATAATCGCTCAACAAATGGACATTTACAAAATTGTTTTGTATTTAATCAATGTGCTTCTGCGTCTCAATCTGTCTCCATTTGTGGGAAACAGACTTGAATGACAAAGCATAAGTGGGCCTGCATAAATTACGAAGATGATCCTTTCTGCAAATATTTTGATTACTATTTGTTTGAGATCCAATTTCATATTGGCTCACTTGAATGAATAATATAGTTTGTGTATACTTATCATTTATTCATGCATAGTAGCAGGCTCAGTACCGTGGGCTGCATCAGTGAAGTAAATAAGCAGCTAGCAAGTATTTCAAACTGAAATAAGTTACAGCAAAACCACTCTAGGGAGAAATTAACTTCGGCTAATTAACAAAAGCAATAACATGTATTGTCTGAATGTATGTCAGTTTAAAGCAGAGTTTGCACACAATTAAGATGTATATCAGCAAACTAAATCAGAAAACAGCCTCCAAGCATTCAGGAAGTTGTTTAGGTAATTCCATTTGCAAATCTTTTCCATCTCTGCAATATAAAAGCATTTCCTTGAGCCACATCCTGAAACAATGGTGACGATGGAATCTTTGGAGTTGAGTAATACACTTTTTATTGCTGCACCCATGTCTTCCTTTTCAACACAGTCTCACAACAAAACGTTGGTCCACGGGACAAAACGTAGTATATTCGCAAATCCTTTCAAGACGTGACGTGGATACAATATTTTGTAAAAACAAACATGGAGCTCAAATAATCTTCCTAATATCTATCAAACTATAGATCCTACACATCCACTGGACGTAGATTCTAAATGTACAATATAAACTTGTAATCAGAAAGCATTATAACGGCCAAAGTTTGCGATCACGTGAGATGGAGACTGGTCATTAGAAATTAATAGGACAACAATATTGTATCCCTGTCAGGTCTTGAGTGGGTTATTTGTGAATATACTACGTTTTGCCCTGTGGACCAACGACCACGTTTTTTTGTGAGACTGGGTTGGCCTTTTTGAATTTGAAATTGAAGAAATTGAAGAAACTGATTCAAATATCTAAGTTCCTAAGTTTGGTTTTCAATTAATTATGAATCTGTTTCTAGCGTTGATGGCACTGCTCAGATTCAAGATTCAAGGCTTTATTTTCAGCTACAGAGTAGATATGTCAATGAAAAACTTAAAGGTCCCCTATTATACTCTTTTTCATCAATATATTATAGGTCTCAGATAGAGCCTGTCTCTGATTGGCTGAAACACCAAACAGATCATTGCAGCATTACCCATAATCCCCTCTGTTTCAGCCCTGTTTCCAAAGTGCTGATTCTCTGTCTGTTACTTCAGATGAAAATAAGGAGCCCCTCCCCACGCCCCTCTGAGAGACATTTGGTTACAAAGAACTCAATGGTGCTCGAGGAGGAGATTCAGGTAATAAGGGGGGGGGGGGGGGGGTACCTTGGTTGCTGATTGGCTAATGGTTACACAAGACAAGACATCGTTATGACATCATAAAGTGGCCAAAATCTGATCAGCTCATTTTCAAACAGGTTTTTATAGAAATGGATCAAAAAGAGAGAGAATCTTTGTTCCTGAATCTTTCAGAGTCTCTTTCCACAGAGGGGACACATGTTGATGTAGAAGACACATGAAGAAGAGAGGACACATGTTGATGTAGAAGAGACATGAAGAAGAGGGGACACATGTTGATGTAGAAGAGACATGAAGAAGAGGGGACACATGTTGATGTAGAAGAGACATGAAGAAGAGGGGACACATGTTGATGTAGAAGAGACATGAAGAAGAGGATTTTGCACAATAGGTAACCTTTAAGTCACAGGCTCCTCCAACAATGCAACATGAATATATATAGGACATAAAACAAATTAAAACAAATTAAAAAGTGCAATAGAATGTTTTGATATGTGCAAGTAAACACTAATAAAATAGAAACAGTGCAAGTAGAGTCTATAGTCAAGTAAATTGAATATGATATATTAGGTAAATAATTTGCAAGATGCAAACAGATGAATGTTTATGGGTGTTGACATAGAGTATTTTCTTGAAATCGAAATTATAATTTGATTTCCATTTGTCTCCTTAGCAACCTTTTCCCCCGCTTCTTTTAACTCAAAGGCCACTGCATCTTACATCGCTGAGTAGTGAACTGAAATAATTCACGGTATGATCTCATCCTTTGTCCTTTCAAAATGCCAAGGGACTCTCATTTCCTGAATTGATGACATGTTGTCAGGATGAAAACATTTCAACGACCAAAAAACATAAAACGAGAAACGTGTGGGCTTCCAAAGGCCTCGCCGGTTCTAAAGCATCGCATTGTTGGAACCAAAATAACAGCCACTTTACTTGTTGCTTTATTCACACTTTTATATTTACATGGGGAGTGAACACCACATTGGTTTATTAATTTATAATTGTACTTATGGCTACTGACAGAATCACTTCCTCCATGCTTTACCTCCTAGCGAACTAATTTAAAGGTCACCTATCATGCTGTTTGTAGGCAATAGCTTAGGTCTCAGATATATATAATTATATAAAAAACATGTCTATGAAGTGTTTTGCTCAAAAGATCACCCATTCTAGTCATGCCTCATATCCCTCTATTTCACTTCCTGTTTCAAAAGTGCTGTTTGGGATATAAAGCTTTTAAAAAAATGCGGGACCCGGCAGCTACTGTCTAAACTAAATGCTGCCGTGATGAAACGCCATATTATGGATTATCAAGGATTCTCTCTGAAACAGTTTAGAGCTCAAAGGCTTTCTCTCTTGCCGGTTATACCACAAGGTGAGTTCCTTTTTACTTCCTGCTTCTTCACACACATGCTCTCCAGTACAGGTTAGCTCTTAGTGTTAGCGATGCTAATGTAAACACCGACCATATTACGTCCAAAACAGTCGGGCATTGTTTCTGATAGCAACGTTTCTGATTGGGCCGTGGGTCCACATTTCAGATATTACGTCATATCGGACGCAAATCTGGATCAGCTCCGTTGTTCCCCCGTTTTTAGAGATTTGGGTACGGAGGAAAAGAGAGAGGGTTTTATTTTCTGACGCTGTGTGAGTTCCCCGACACACCGGGGACACATGTTTATGTATAAAATACATCACAAAGTGCATTTTGCATGATCGGTCCCCTTTAACTAAAAACTACACTAAAAGATGAAATATACACGTTTTAATCAACTTGAAAAGATATTGTAAAAAAGTGACATTTGATAAAGGGCTAAGACTAAGATAACATTTGACACTACTCTGGAGCAATATAAACAGGGGTGCACATAACTTTTTTGCCCTGGTTCTCAAAGGAGCACCTGGAGATGTTGCTTAGTGCTCATCCTTCAAATGAAATAAACCGTAACTTTTGAGGGGGTCTTGACTTTATGTGCCAGACACACGGCACAGAACACACGTGCAGAGGTGAACACAAGACAACATTAGCACGACCAGTAATCCTACAAGCTGTCATCACTACCCTTCTGACTGTTCTCCTCACTGTCTTCCTCTCTGTCAGACATGGTAGCTGATGATGTCGGCCTACTACTTCCTCTCTGGTTGAGTCTGTGATTAGCTGCTTGCATCCACAAGTCAACAGCTGGGTTTGGGTCGAAAGTCTCTGTTGTCATCTTAGACAAGTGAATGTAATCAAATAAGTATGTGAACATAACCAATAACCTACCATAGCCAATAACAAATTAATGTAACTTATTTTATTGTTGTTGTTCATATCTTATTTTACCTTAACATTTATATATTTATGCATTTTTTTTTATCTTTCCAGTTTTAAAGGATATTTTTGGTTTACTGTCCTATAGTATACATTGGAATGATTCCAAACCTGTTTATCCCAATAATTATAAAGGAGTGCCTTGAAAATATGTGTTTACATAAATTATGATCAAAACGTTTGAGACCCACTGAGATAACTTAGACTAAAGTGAACTATCTAAACACTCAAGAGTCCTTTACCTCACTGAGCTGTAGTTATCAGCCTCAGTCTGACTGGAGAGGACTCTCCCTCCACATCATTGTAGAAACATCTTCTTCTTATATCCGTTAGAGCAGCTAGTACCAGATGCTAATAACAACAGCGCCGGAACCGGTGCGCCCTTCTCTCTCTCCCTCGCTCGCACTTTGGCTGTGAGCCAGATAAGTCAACATCCCCCATTTTCATCACTTACAGCGCCCATCGTACAGGGCAAATGAAACGTGTAACCGGGGTGAAAAGGGTGTTACATTTACTTAATTATGAATGTTGTTACATCAAGGCCGAAAATTAGGATGAGCCCCAACGGTCAAAAAATAGTTTTTCCCTCCCAGAGCTGCCAGCGCAGCGCCTCCCCGGATCTGGAGCCCTAGGCGAACATCTATTACGCCAGTGCTACGGGCGAACCCTGAGTTCATATGCAACTCGCAAATATCTTTCTCTCTCTCTCTCTCCTCTCTTCTCTCTCCTCTCTCCTCTCTTCTCTCTTTTCTCTTCTCCCTTCTCTCTCTTCTCTCTCTCCCTCTCTCAATGTTGGTACGCAAATGCACCTTTTTTCAAATTAACCGGTGCTCATTTTTTGGCGGAGGTGCGCATGCGCACCTGCGCACCAGTTATGTGCAGCCCTGAATATAAACGTGTATTTTAACCCATCTATCGACAAGACACCATCATTTATCCAAAAACGTTACAAATCGCTATCAAAAAAAGGAATCTGTTTCATGATATGACACCTCTTTGGTTAGTTTCAACAGAAAGAAAACACTGATATGTCGAGGGAAAATATTCAGATTTGGGTCATTCATTAGGCTTAGAAAATATTTATTGTCATGGTATAGTAACAAACTTGTGCTTAAG